GGTCCCCAGCCCCACGGAGGCACCGGGGGCGCGGGGCCGCCGGAGGGGCGCGGCGTGTGCATCCGCGAGTTCCGCGCGGCCGAGCAGGAGGCGGCGCGCCGCATCTTCTACGACGGCATCTTGGAGCGCATCCCCAACACGGCTTTCCGCGGCCTGCGACAGCACCCGCGCACCCAGCTGCTCTACGCCCTGCTAGCGGGTCAGTGCGCCTCGGGGGGCGGGGGGCCGGCGGGGCTGCCGCAGTCCCGCCCCGGGCCCGGGGCCGGCGGACCCCTCCGGGGACCGAAGCGCTCGACTCCGCCTTCTTCCCGGGTCCCCGGTGTCGGAATCCCGGGGCCGCGTCTGTGCGCCGGAGCGGCTCGGAGCAGACCTGCTGGCCCCCGCGGCGCGGCGCTCCGGGCTTCCGGCCAAGGCGCCCGGGCCGGGCGTGGGAACCGGCGCGGGCTGAGTGCGGGCGCTGCGGTCCGGGAAGCGCCGGGTCGGCAGCGCAGCCCTCCGTGTCCGTCCTCCCCGTCGCGGGGCATCCCGGGTGGGGGCGGCGTGACAGGGCAGGTAGCGCTGCAGCTGCGGCCCGGCGCGACAACTATATATAATCTGCGGGCGGGGGAGGCCGCCTGAGGCTCAAGTGCTAATTTATGACGGGAAGACAGCCAGCTCCGCGGGGAGCCTGAGAGGCTGCTCGCCAGAGCCAGGGCCGCAGGGAGGATACCCTGTACTGTCGGGAGGCGCACCCCACCCCCCACTCCATGTCATCCCATTCTGCAGATGAGGAGCTTGAGGCGACTCTCCCAAGGTCATTCAAGGGAGGCAACTTTCGCTCTTGCGCCTCTTCCTCCTCCACATCATAAACGAAGCTGGAAGCAGTGTGGTGCTTGTCGCCTGACTGTTGGCCTAGTGGGCCAGGAAGCTGCCCAGGGAAGGCTCTAGTCGGGTCCCTTCACACCCCAGCGTGGGATGTCCTGCCTGGTTAGGCAGTGCCCTGGTGTCTCTGTCCAGCTCTTTGACTTAGCACCAGGATAGGGGGAGTAGGCAGGTGCCCCTTTGGAAACTGGGGGCAGCGAGGGCTGACCAGCACTGGCCTGGCCTAGGCTGTATTGTGGACCTTTGTTTCAGGTTGTGAAGGTAGCAGGTGTTTACGCCAGAGAGCTTGGAAATGAGGAAGCGTAGAAAGGGACTGCGGCCATGACTGCTCCTCCACAGAGAAACAGTCCCTGGTGGGGCGCATCCCTAAGCACTGATTTACCAAGGTGGTTTGCACTCTGGGTACTGTGGGACCCACCCCCGTTCAGCCTGGCTGCGTGCCCCCCTGCACCTGCCACCTCACCTGTGCTCCCTTGCCTGCAGCCCTCTGTCTCGCTGTGACCCGCTCACTGCTGCTGACGTGCCTGGTGCCGGCCGGGCTCCTGGCCCTCCGCTACTACTACAGTCGCAAGGTGATTCTGGCCTACCTGGAGTGTGCGCTGCACACGGACATGGCCGACATTGAGCAGTACTACATGAAGCCACCTGGTGAGTTCTGGGATTCTCCGACTCTGCCCACCCCCTTCTCCTTCAGGCACAAAACGGGGCCTAGGCTGGGGGGATCCTGAGGTTCTGAGCCTTGTGAAGGATGAGGCCTCTAGCGAATGACTGAGGCCTCTAGCTAAGGGTGGAGTGTCAGCAGAGGAGAGCCAGAATGAAGTCCTTGTCTTGGTGGCCTGGCTCCGATGTTGGATACCTTTTCCTGGTACCTGCCGTGTGTGGGGTGTGTGTGGGGGTGGGGGGGGGCGTGGGTGTTGGGGGTGATGTCCTGGCTGGATCCTGAACCAGCCCAGAGTACCTAGGGTGGAGGAATCCTGGTGGCACAGGAGTTGTTCAAGGGAACAGAAGATTGGGTAGGGGGTCTAGGCTTTATCCTTGGCCTTCTGGCTAGGTTAGTGAACCACAAGGTGTTACCCTAGATCCCAAGGTGGAAAGAGGGGATGGGACTCTAGTCTACAGGAGCTGGAGACTGGTCTCTTCCCCAGGCAAGCCCTGAAGCAGGCTGGCCGTGGGAATCAGAGGAAAGAGACACTTTTGGGATGTGAGGGGCTGAGCATAGGGGACTGGCCAGCAGGAGCTGAGTCTATTTCAGGGAAGGGCAGCCACTCTGGTTTTGCCAGCTATAGTTTTTGCCAGCTCCTCCCCAAATGTCCCATCTTGTACCCCAACCTCCTGCTCACCTGGCCTTGGTGCCTGCTGTTCTCCTTGGCCCTTCCCCACATTCAAATGCAGCTTCCTGGCCTCTGCAGGTCTCCACTTCCCTGGCTGCTCTTGGGAAGAGAAGGTGGAAAGCAGCTGAAGTGGGCTTAGGTAGATGGCCTGTGTGTGACCAGTCCTGTTGTATGCTCTGTCTGAGCTTCAGTACTCCCAGGGGTTAGAGTGTGGCAATGCTTGCTAACTCTTGGACATCTGCTGGGTTTACAGGACCATAAGAGCCCCTGCTGGACCGCAGCTAATGGGCTGTATAGGTTTGTGGGGGTTCTCATGCAAATGGGGGAACCACCAGGAAAGAGTGACAATGCTCAGTGCTGGAGGCTGTCCTGACCTCTGCTCTGGCTTGTGTGGGTGGGTGTGGGGCAGTTTATAAGGGGAACATTGGTCCATAGACTCCCCTTGGGGTTGGGAAGTCCTAGAGGCCTCTGGGATGAGGCCCCTCCATGAGTTGGCAGCTTTCTCTGCTTTCCTGGTGGAGGGTGGGTAGGCAGCAGCCTCAGCTCTAGAGCTCAGAGTCTGCACTAAAGGAACTGGACTCCCCAGACCCCAAGAGGTGGGAGGTGAAGGTAGGAGCGCTTTCTACTGCCAGGTGAGGGCAAGTAGAGGTACAGAGCCTTTGGGGGAAGTATGGCCCTTAGAGGGAGGCTAGGGGCATGGTAAGATCAGGGAGGCCAGATCACCAACAGCATAGGCACTCTCTTGGCCAGCCAGATACTCTCTCCTACAGTCCTTCAGCCTTTGTCTTTCGGAAAGGTCTCTGGGTATCCTCTTGACTGTGAACACTGGCCTGTGCCCTTCAGCATCCTCCCAACCCCCAACCCCTTTTCCCTTCTTGTAGGAGTGAGAGTAGGAGTTGGCTGGCCTGGCATCAGGCTCATTGCCCAGTTACTGGGTCACTGGGGCTTGGGGGTATCTGTGGTCCCTCACTTGTGTTTATAAAACTTTCTTCTCGGTTTTCACTCAGTTCTGTCCCTGCAAGGTTCCTTGGGGAGGACTATGGCAGGCCAGGGGCTAGGATTCATAGTGTGGCAGTTGGTCCTGTGTCCTTGGCTGTGGTTTTTCAGGTGTTCTGGGGATAGGAACCTGCTTTGTCAAGGTCTTCCCAGCTCCTAGGCACCTCCAACTACTATTCTATCCAGGACAGGATAGACTCAGGCTGGAGCTGACTGTGTCCACCTGTGACATGGGATCCCGTCATACAAAGTTGGGCAGGTTGTCTTGGACTGAGGCTGCTTAGGGGGTCTGGAGGAAGCAGCTTACCTGCTTATTTTAAATCATGGCCTCCCGTGGTGTCCAAAAAAGCTGAAAGGTAGGCCAGGGCACTGGAGGATTGGGCATTATTGTGATACCCTGATTCGGTGCCCAGCTGGAATGGGCTCTGAAGTCTCTCCAGACGTCCATGACGTGCAAAATGTCCATGACTGTCATGTCCTTTGTAGGTTCCTGTTTCTGGGTGGCTGTGCTGGATGGCAACGTTGTGGGCATCGTGGCTGCAAGGGCCCACGAGGAGGACAACACGGTGGAGCTGCTCCGCATGTCCGTGGACTCACGCTTCCGCGGCAAAGGCATCGCCAAGGCTCTGGGCCGGAGGGTGCTGGAGTTTGCCGTGTTGCACAACTACTCGGCAGTGGTACTGGGCACCACAGCCGTTAAGGTGGCAGCCCACAAGCTCTATGAGTCACTGGGCTTCAGACACATGGGCGCGAGCGATCACTACGTGCTGCCTGGCATGACCCTCTCGCTGGCCGAGCGCCTCTTCTTCCAGGTCCGCTACCACCGCTACCGCCTGCAGCTACGCGAGGAGTGACCACCACCACCTGCCCACCACCCTGTCTGCCCCTGTCCACCTCTGCCCTCCTGCTCGCTGCCCAGTGCGGCCCTGCTTTCCAGTGCTCACCTTGGCATTTGTTTGGGTTTTCCTTTTTCACGCTGGTTCATCACCTGCCTGGTTCTGGGGCCACAGGGTGTTGCGCATCTGCAGCACACTGGTGGGGTGGATTGTCTGCGGCTACGGTCCTTGCCTCCCCAGCCCATCCGAGTGGCTCATCATGCCTTGAAGAGTAGCATTGTGGACCACCTGGACTATCCGCAAAGCTGCCCAGCCTGCCTCCATCAGGGAAGGACTAGCCTTGCCCATCAAGCACAGAACCTCCACAAGCCCCACCCCTACCCCCAAGGAGCAGACCCCTGGCCCCCAGCCAGGCTAAGGCTCAGCTATTGGCCTCTGGAAGAGTGGCCTGCTGGGCTGGCCATCCATTGCCCTGTGGGAGGCCAAGTTGGCCCCAGGCCCTGCTTTGCCCTGTGCATGCTGAGGACATGGTTTGGCTGCAGCATGCCGCATGCCACAGCCCCCTGCTCTGCTGCCCTGTTCAGCCTAGACCTCAGGCCTGAGCTGGTGAGATCCCCTTATCCTGTCCTGAGCTGGCCTCTGGAGGGCCTACCTGCCTGACCCCATCTGCTCTTGGGTGGGGCCTGGCCTGGCCTGGCCTAACCCGGCTCTATCCACTCCTGCTTTGCTTCGAAATCATCTTACCTCTTTCCCTTTTTGGTCCCCGTGCCTCCTTGCTCTGGCTGACTTGGCTGGTCACCCAGGTTTGGTTCCTGTAGCAATCCACTGCACAGCATGGTGGGGATTTCATGGGGGTTGGGGGGAACACCTCCCCCAACACCTGACAGATCAGGTGGCCACCTGCCAGCTGCCTGAGGTCCTGTGGCCTCATGCTGTTTGTTGGGTCTGCCCTGTGAATGTAACTAGCCCAGGCTGTTGTTGGCAATGCCTGCCACAGCTTCTCCCAGCCTGAAAAACCCATTCTCTAACAAGTTACGTAGACAGAATAGCACTCTGCATGACTTTAATTCCTGGGACAAAATGGTAGTTTGAGCCTCCAGACACACATCTGTGTGGTGCTAGAATACGCATGGTCTCTGGCCCCATTTGATGGGGGTGGGTGGCCCGGGTAGGTGCAAGATTTAGTCTGAAGTATGGAAGGAGACTCTAATTTAGTATAACTGCCTCCAAAGTGCATTCCTAGTCTGTGAAGCTCAGGCTGCCCCTTGATTCCTTGTATGCAGTATTGAGGGGATTGGGGCATCTTAAAGCCTCATTGGAAGGGCTGGGCACTGCCTTGTGGGCAAGAGCTGGTAGGGGTGGGTCCAGCCATCGCATTACAGCTACTCTGCTGGGTCAGCTGTGCTCCTGGCCTCTCCTTTTGGAGGTCCCACTTAGGGTCCAGCCTAGATGGGGGTGGGGATAGCCTGGGACAGGGAGAGGAAGGCAGTAGCTGTCAGTGCTCATGTGGCCAGCTGAAAACTGGACCTAGCTTCAGTGCAGGGGGCATAAAGGCCCATCACACCCTTCTCTGTGGGGCTTGGGATGAGTGGCAGACTGAGCAGGCCATAGAGCTGGGCCCCTGGCACCAAGGCTACATTCTTAAAAAGGCTCTTTAGGGTGAATGAGTTGGTGGAACAAGCCCAGCTTCCTGAGGGGCCTTTTGTCCTGTTAGCAATTAAGGCATTTGCAGAACACTGTACAGACCCCACTCTCCCCTGTACATTCCTCCCTGGTGGTGCCTGGTCCCCGCACGGGGATGGGAGTTTTGTAGACTGTACAGAAATTGGCACCCTATTTTCTTGCAGCTCTCAGATTTTGTTAATCTGGATTATACAGACAGACGTAAAGTGTTTTAGCAAAATGGAAAACAAACAGTTGTGCCTTTTTCCTCTTTTCTGTTTGGATTGGTCTCGGCTCGGGGCTAGTCTTAGTTGCTGTGGGGGTATAGGGACTGCTGGTGTCTGAGGCCTTGGGATCAGAGGCTGCTTGTGGGTCTGAGGTCTGGGAGGGCCTAAGTAGAAGCCAGGTCTGCTGGACAGCACCAGCTACCAGGGTTTCTCTGATCCTGTGCCTTTGGGACCTGCAGTCTTTGGGGTTGGAAGGTGTGGCAGGGCACTGGGATTACTTGGGTCAGAGCAGAGTCTGCAGGCCTGGGGATCCTGCAGCCACCCACATCTCCTTGATCCTGACCTGGGATGAGCTCATAGTAGATTCCTTCATCCTAGGAGCCTTGGGGGGGGGGGAGTCATGGCCCTTCCGACTCTTGGACCTGTCTGTCCAAGGGGATCTCTTCTTGCTGAACAGCCCATTGGTAAAGGGAAGCTTGCTGGGCTCTCGAGTATTCTTTGCCTTCTGTTGTTGCCAAGGCTTGGTAGAGATGCCAGGAGTGGGTGGTGGGCTAAGGTCCAGTTGTACCGGGATGGAGCCTCATCAGGCTTGGCAGGGCCTGAAGCCCTGGAGACATACCTGTCTCCCTGGGCTGGAGGAAGTTGAACATGCTGATGACTGGGCCTGGCCCCGTCCACTTCATCATCCCAGCCAGAGCTGTGAGTGCTCCGCACATGTGCACTGATGTGAATTTTCTGTTGAGATTGATGTTTTTTCTACCTCTGTGGAGGCCCTCCTCCCTGCTCCACCTGGTGGCCAAGCACTTGGTGCGGCTTCTCTGAGTTTGCTGGACATCTCCCTCTCTCTTGGGCCTCCAAGCACCTGAGGTGGCCAGCACCTGTACTCTGGGCTTGGGAAGGCCAGCCTGGGGTCTGTCTTTGTGCTCAGGATCTGTGGCTTCCAGGAGGCCTATTGTTTGCTTGGAAGCTTCTGTTTTCGAGTAGGGAGGGTGGAAGATATGGTGGAGTGTTCCGGAACATCAGTGTTGGATGATCCTACAGCATAGACCTGGTATACCACTGCTTGACTGTCCCCTCGCAGCTTCCGATGCCCAGGCATGTGCCTCTGCAGATGCCTAGTCTCTGTTGTGTGGCCAGGAGTCTGGCCTGCATATGATAAGCTCTGGTCCCTGAAGGGTGGGGTGGCATACTCCTGAGTGTAGCAAGGCCAAGCCCTGGTGGCCATGGCAGCCTCTCCCATGTCCTGCTCTTAGCACTGTGCTCACCCTTCACTGTAGCACTGCCCTAGGGCTGGGCAGCGGCTGAGGGATGTGCTAACCTGGCTGAAGTGGTAGATGCCTGGGTCTGGGGGAAGGCTCTGGCTGGGAGGCCCTGTGGATAACAGGCTGGTGGTCTCAGGGACTTGGACAGTCCCCATCCTACAGTGGTACCCTTCCTCCGAGAAGGGGATAGGTCAGAGGACAGAGTCAGGGACATACCTGAGGTGCATTGGGCCTGGTGCCTGGGACGCTTTAGGCCATAGGAGCATCACTTGCTGCTGGAAAGCATGCTGCCCATTCCCACTTGCCTTTGCCAACCCCAGGTGGCCCCACATTCATAGCTTCCTGGAGCTGGCTTCCAGGGCTATGCCTGTGGCTAGAAGCCTGGGGACAAAAGCTTCTGGGTATGGATGGTGCCTCGGGCTTCTTGGGGGCTGGATGTGGCTTCCTAGCTGGGTAGGAACTGTGCAGCATCCATGAGGCCATCTTCTTGCCAGGGCTCAAGAGGCAACCTGAACTGACCTGAGGTGGTTGTGTCTCCCTGTCCATGGTAGCATTGCTGCTGGCACCCATTGCCACCTGCTGTCTTGGTCAGTTCTGGCCTCAGCAAAGGTCTTGTCCTTCGCTCTTGGCTACACTTATGCTGGGTATGGGGCAGACCTTGGGCTGTGCTGCTGTTTGGTGCTGCCATCACTGTGCTTCCAGCAAGGGTGGGTCCTTGGAAGGTGGACAGAGCTTGCCTGGGACTGGGTGGAAGATGAGCCTTGACTTACCACTGTTGGATGTATTTTTTAAAACAGCAATAATTAGCCATTTTAAAGAAGGGGTGTACCTGCGTAAATGTGCATGCCCATCTGTGTATGTGCATCTGTGCACATATATGTGAGCATGTGCATCTGAGGGTGTTTGCATGTGTGAGCATCAGTGTGAGTGTGTGTGTGTGTGTGTGTGTGTGTGACAAGCACATGCCATTTGTAATCATGAACTCATGTGGCTATAGGTGCCCAAGGAATCATATTCATGTGTTGCATGTGTGTGAGTACGTGCAAGTATTTGTGTGTGCATGTGTATATGTGTGGGCATCTCCATATATGTATGGATGTATGCATGTGTGTGTATGTGCACATGTGCAGCAGTGGGAGGAACCAGTGGGGACAGTCTCTGATCTAGGAGGCACTTTGTGGTAAGAAGCAGGGTCTTATGGTTTTTCTCTCACTATGCCCATTCCTTCCCCTGCCCTGCCCTGCCCAGCTCCATGTGAATGTAGCACAACCCCACCAGGCCAGCTGAGCCTTTGCCGGCCCTCACCTCTGTCCATCTTCCCCTCAGCTGAGGGTAGGGTAGAGGAGCTGGAGGCCCCTTGGACAGGACACAGATTGGGTTTGGCCAGGGTGCAGTGGTAGGTCTCACTGCTGTGGTTTGTTCCTGAATTTGTACTGTGAGCCCATGATGGGGGTGGGGGTATCCTGAGACCCCAGGATGTGCCAAAATAGCCCCTAGGGCCAGGTGACGAGCCGAGTTCCCAAGAAGACAGGCTGGGGGCCCAAGTGGGTGTGTGCCCCTGCCTGCACGGCCCCCAATGCTGCTGTTTTTCAATAAAACCAGAATTGAAGGAACTAGGCTCTGTGCTTTTTTGAGGCACCTCTTGGGGTGGATATACTGGGTTCCCACTGTCTGGGCTGTTTCTGCTTGTGTTTGGTTTAGCTGGACTCTGGAGCAGGAGTGGAATCACTGAGGCAAGGGTAGGGCTTTGGTCTCCCTATGAGGTTGAGGCCCCTTCCCAAAACTGGTACCAAGCCCAACCTCCCAGGATGCTCTCTCCCCAACCAGGGAAGAGGGGCCTGGATGCCTCTGACCATGGATGGTTAGGTGCTCTGCAGCCCTTCACACTTTCCTATGTGTGATAGACATAGAGGCAGCAGCCAGACTGTGTGGGGTGAAGGAGGTTGGATTAGCTCAGGCCCAGCAGCAACCTGAAGATTTTATCCTACCTCTATGCCTGTTCCCTAGTTCTTGGGCACTTAAACTCCAGGCATAGTCGAGACACCTTTGGTGCAGTCTCCAGGCCCCCAAGCCTGACTCTTCTGGCCTGTTTCTGGGATCTGTGCATTTACAAGGCCAAGACCCCTGGACTTATGGGCTTAGGATCCACTAAGAGCTTCACTTTTCCTGAGGTCTCTTCTGGGCCTCCTGCTGGCTGGCTCCACCATAGGCTGTGGCCCCTGTCTACCTACCAACATGCATCTTAGCAATGGGATAAGATTTATATCAGTGTTGGCCAGGTTGAGGGGTAGACATGATGGTGAAGACACATTTCAGACCCATGCAGGTTACTAGCCAGCCTTGTCAGCAGGGAGACCCTTGGAGCTGGGGGAGGGTTTCCAGAACTCAGATACTGAGCCCAGTCCCTGGACAGCTTTCTAGGAATTCCCTCCTCACCTCCCTTTGCTCCTGTGCAGAAGCCAGGAGGAATGTAACCACGGCACAGCCAGGGGCTGCCATTCTCAGCCAGCAGGAGGGAGTTGGTGATCTTTGCCTGGGCTTGAGTGACATGACAACGCCCATCTCTGAGATGTCTTAGGTGAAACACAGCCAGAGGGCCACCTGCCATGGAGATGGGCCTTTCATCTTAAACCTCGAGGTGCCCTCTCCAGTGCCAGATGTCAGCTTCCTTACTGGACGTGGTCCATATTGGCTTATGTTTGGCACAGAGAAGAAGATCAGAACCTGAGTGGATACTCATCAAGGGCCAAATTGGGTCCCCAATCTAGCCTCTTGCTGAGCAGACTGTATGTTATATATGTGTGTGTACCCACAGGATGACAAGGATGAAGAAGGAGTCTCATTGGGCATTTACTTCAGGTAGTGACCCAGTTGTCCCACAAAGGCATCAACCGAGCCTTCACAGAGTGCACTGGTGACCTGGGGAAAGGCTACAGGATGGACTAGTGGAAGCCAACTCTCTCCTCCCAGTGCTGCCCAGTGATACAAACTTAGGATAAAAAAATGTACTTTATGGGGGTAGGTAGTGAAGTGGGACCTCACTGGTATCTGGACTGTTGCTTGGAGATGGCTCAGGCTGAGCCCAGGGCTTCCTACAGTGGGGCCAGGTGTCCCCATGAGCGGCCAACACTCAAGTTCACCTTTAGGGGCACCTGTGGGGTGACAACCAGAAATGAGCTTCAAGGAGAAACCTAGCCATCTCCCAGGCCCTCATGCAGGCTGAAGAGGTAGCAGTAGTGCACCGGGACACACTTCCACAGAGACAGCAACCATATATGCCAGCATACACTCGGACACACACCTGTACTCACATATGCCCTATTGCAAGCTCATACCATATGCACCCATCACGGTGGAGTTTCTTATCTACCAGGCCTCAGCCAGTGTGTAGGACTGCGGGGCTCCTAGGCATGGTGCCTTAGGGTAGGAATGTCCTAGTGCAGCACGTGCTCACCCTGTCAGGTTTGTATTTTAGGGATGCCAGGGGGCAGAAGATCCCTACTTGAGTGGTCTTTTTTTTCCAAGACAGCAAACAAGGCTACCTTGTCTGAAGAAAGGGGCAGGCCCCCCAGCTCTTTCTGCCTCATGAGGGGCCCCTGATAACAGCTAAGTTTAGCTTCCTGGGCTTCATGCTCCTTCCCCAGCACCTACTTTGCTCACAGGCATAGGTTTTGTAGACTACCTCCTGCCACCAACTGGGTAAGGTAGATGTGTTGTTCCTTGATCCTGCCAAGCTGCCACCTGTCTAGAGGTGTGTAGTGCCCTGGTGTGCTGCAGAGTGGCTTGCAAAAAGGGAAGAGTGAGCACGTCAGGGTCTTTTCCAGGAAGGCCTCCGAGCCTTTGAGCAGTGCCAAGGCTACTCTGGAAGGTGGTCAGCTAGCTTCTGTGGCTCTGCACGCCTCAAGGTCTCCAACAACCCTCTTCCTCCCTGCCCAGTTGTCCACACTGCTCTAGGGAGCCTATGCTGAAACACCCAGAGGTCTTTTCCTGGCAAGAACCCAAAACTAAGTCCAAGCAGTGTTTAGCTAGGTGCAGAGTGGGCCTGTGTTTAGACATGCCCTTGGATGTATTTGGAGCAGGTGGGGCCCAGTGTTCACACCCTCAGTGATGGTGAGCCTCAGGGAAGGGGTTTAGCCAGAGGCTGGTAGGAACAGCAGTAGATATCCATGATGGTGGCTTCTTATCAGCCAGCAGTCAAGTCATCCAGTGGGGAAATTTTTCCTAGCAGGGTAGGGACAAGTGTGGGCTTGGAGGGCAGTAGTCTTGGTGCCCAATACTGGAACTTGCCTTCTTCCTTGCCCTCCTGACCTCTGGGGAGTGATACCCTCTTGCCCACCCTGGGTTGACTCTAGCTGTGATGGATATATGGTGATACTGGGCAGATGTGTGTCTCCTTACCTGCAGCTCCAGTTCCAGGGTCTGTACCTGTTGCAAGGACTCCATGATCCTTTTGACAAGGGCTAGAACAGGAAAACAGCTGCTTACAGGCTGTGAGTTAAGGTCTGGTCAGCCTTCTGGCTTCCAGGCCCTAAGAGTTGAGGACTGAGGAACCTTCAGGCTCAGTGGGGCCTGATTCAAGTTACCTGGTTGTGTTTTGGATCTACTAGTCACTCATACCAACTGGTCAAGGCCCTTGAACCTCAGAGCTTATTCAACTCCCCAGTGTCCACATCCATGGCTCAGGATACAGCTTAAAAGACCCTCTGCCCATTTTCTGGTCATTGTACTTACTGAGCTGGCCCCATCCTTCACAGCTCTTCACAGCAGAGGCAGGCCAGCTGAGATGGGCAGGCACTGTGTCCACACCAGCAGTTTTGGCTATGGGGCTAGGGCTATAAGGGGGTACAAGGTCATCCTTTCTAGTCAAAATCGTCTGGGCATGAAAGGCCACAATCCCTGATGCTCCTAGAGAAGGTCTAATGTTCTTGTCATGCTTCTGCAGGTTGCTTTGTGGCTCTGACAGTATGATCTATTGTGGGAGCTTGTGTCATCTTTTCTCCGTTCTAGTGGAGGCTCAGCCATGGATGTTTGTGCACAGAAGCTTCAAGGCTGTGCTGGAGCACTAGACACATACCATCCCTTACTAGGGGCACCAAATTAGCTGTCAGCTGGGAGAGGCCTTGAGGGACAGAGGGGAGAAGCTTCAGAGACATGGCAGAGACATGACTGTGGAATGACACCACCCACTATGCTCCCCTGGACATACCTGAAAACTCAGGGATCTGAGTATCTTCTACTTCAAACAGCAGCTCATCATGAATTTGGGCAACTAACCTGGAGAGGAAGGAAGTCAGTTGGGGGTGTGGATGCCTCCGCATGGGACGTAAGGTTATCCTTCAAAGTTCCTGATAAGTTGTTTGGCATCTGGTTTATGAAAGAGTATGGCTTTGTGTGGAATAGGTATGGCTATCCTGGCACTATCATCTGGGGTTGCTTACCATCTGACAGCGCCAGGGAGTGGGCAGAAGGGACCAGGAGAGAGGGCTACGTGACTTCTGGAGAGCTGTCCTGCCCCTGACCAGGCTGAGCATTTTTGTGCTCAGGTAAGGCTGGCAGGGTAGAGGAAGAGCTCCCTGGGAAGAGCAATGCACATTGAATGTCGTGTTCCCTGATCCTCATTGGTTGTGAGGTAATCGTGGATGGGGCAGGGAGGAGAGGTGAGACAGGAGAGTTGCTCCTGCTGTGAGGAGTGAAGCTAAATCTAGAATGTGGTAAGAACACTCCCCTTAGAGGAAGGGATGGGCCAATATTTTTAAAATTTTGTTTTTAAAGTCTTAAGAATGCTCAACAGAACTTGGAAAATGTAAAAACTCAAAGGCACAAAACTACATTAGATATGGGGTAGTTTGGATGGCCCACACAAGATTGAACATGTACTCTGGGGTTCCAAACCACAGCTCCAAGTGAACATGGCTTCGTGGGCTGCTCAGATCCCACTTTCTCTCACAGTCCTGTATGGCCCCTTAACCCCTACTGGCATCAGCATGAAGAGGAATCTAAGAAGCAGTGCTCTGTTGGGTAAGCATGTTGGGGAAACTGATACAGACGTGTATAGGACGAGACACGTGCTGGGGACATCTGAGTACTCAACCCATACACCTATGTCAGCACACATGCCAGATTGCTACAAACCCATCAGCTCCTTGGAAGGTCGAATCCTGGTGGCCAAGCTCCCCAGGGAGATGCCGCTTCAGAATCCTTGTGGATGTGTGGTCCCCAGACCTTTGTGGGTATACAGGGATCCTGCAACTCAGGGACGGGGTGTGTGGTACACGTGATAAAGATGGTCGTCAGGACCTACAGCTCCCAAGGAAGGGGAGAGGGCATAGAGGGATCCCAGGCGTTCTGTCCTCTATGACCTTGCTTTGTTTCCTGGGTGGGTCTCTGAAGGGCAACAATCACATGCCATATGTTCCCACTGCTGTTTTCCCCGAGTTTCCCTGTGGCACCTGCAAGCTGAGGCTTCACAGGGAAGTTGTGGCAACCCCCATCCCCAGCAGTGGTCATGGGATCTGATGGTGAACCCTGGCTGGAAGGAAGAAGCAACCTTCAAATACTTGAATGGAATGGCCATGACAGCACTCAACAGCAGAGGTCTGTCTTCTTCTCTGTCACCCATTCTGTTGGATGGGAAAGAGAAGGGGATATGTTTCCAGAATACACACCATCTTCTCTAAGATGGAGTAACCCAGTATTCATTTGTTTTCCAACTCTCAGAAAGGCTTGTAAAGGGATTTCATGACCAATACTACCCTTTTCTTGCCTGGAAGGTGCTGAAATGGCCAGAGCAGCTACTTCTATCATGACACCAAAAGGAAAGGGCCTGAGCTTCTAAAATAAAGTCAGCAACCTCTGTGCCTTGGATTTCTCAGGCAGGGAAACGGTACACTTACCTTCTGGAGCCCAGGCTACTGTAGCCAGGCCACTGTTACTCAAGGCCAACAAATGCACATCCTAAAGATTGTGCAGGCCCAGACTATGGAATAGTGGAGTATACATTCTAAAAGACATTCACAGAGGGTGTCTTTACTTTATGTACTGCCTCTGGCTAGAGCATTAGCACCACCCTTCCAGGAGTCAGACTGTGGCACGACCTGGCAGGGATTAAGCCATAGCACTGACATGTTTTCTTAAATTAAAATCAAGCTGTCTGGTGGGCCTTGACTCCCGAGGGGCTTACTTTTCAAATGGGCAGAAACCTTAGAAGAGGCACTTGTAACTCTTTCCAGATTTAGCAGAAGTGCTTTCACACATCTTGAAATCACACCATGCAACCTGAGCCGCCAGTGTGGCAGGACCTAATAAGTGTGACTGTTAGTCACTCACACATCACCATCACAGCCACAGCCACAGAGACATCACGCTTCTCACTGGAAGCTGGGGCACAGGGACAAGCAGAAGCAGAATGCAGGCTTAGACCATCCAGGCTCCCAGAAGGAGGCCATGCCTCCATAGTTTACCAACTGCCCCACAGAAGACACAGAGCTACTGTATTTGAATCTGGTTGACCTGACACAGGCAGACAGATCCTGGCTCCTTGGAGAGAACTTTCCAGAAGGGCCTAACCTCATCCCTTTACCAAGAGTCTGCCAGCAGCTCTCTTCTACAGAGCACCCTAGCCATGCTGAATTCTGTGTGGTTTCCTCCTAGAAGCACATTTGTGTGGTGGTACAAGGTAGGAGACTCTGCAGTCCTGGAAGGACCCAGTCCTAGCTTGGCTCTGCCTGAATTAGGACAAGGTACATGCTGCATACTGCCTCAGTTTCCTCTTCTTTGTATCCCTGAGTCAGATTTTCTGTGCTCACATTTTGGTAAGACATTGCCACCAAGGAGACCCTAGGCCTTAATATGCCAACACCTTTCACCAGTCCTAAAAACAGGAACAGAGAGGCAACTTGCTAGCCTTGCATGTGACAGACTGAGTGCTGTGTGTTTTCAGCAGCTGCCAGGATGGGCCAACACAGGCTATGTACAACCCCAGTGAATTTAGAGGTTATCTCCAGAACAGTGGAAGTACGCAGATGTACAGATTTCAGGAATTACAGGAAACTGGGAGGATGTTATTGGGACTACTAGACAGACAACAGAGAAGGGTAACAGGAGAAACCAGGTGGGCTTAAGTTTTGCATAGTCTGCTTCTAACTAACTCTTGGCCATGCCTGGAGCAGGGCTCAGCTGTAGCCTCTACAGCTTCCTCTGGCATCTTCCCAGAGGGCTTGCAGGTTCTCAACCTATTTCTTTTCTGTAAGAAAGTACCCAGAAAGAACAGGGCTACAAAAGGCAGTGGACAATGGGCTTGGAGCTGGGCCACCTGCCCTCAGCTCTGTGTGGTACCAATCCACAGTGCATACTCCTGTCCAGAGGTATGAAAATCACCCAAGATCACAGGTACAAGGCCAAAATGGGCAGGGGAAATGTTTGAAGAAATAAAGTTTTCAAAAGAAAGATGAGAAATTTCTGATAAAGGAAAATCTGTACCTTGAGCATGAATTTTATTTCAACCCAAGAGAAAACTGTAATCTTGGTGAGAAACGCCCTTAGCACGCAGGTTCCCATGTCACCAAAGCCCTCTTGGGACTGCAGCACAGGGGCCCATGGGCTCCGTTTCACATTTTAGGATCTAGGGAAGGTGATTTCTTCCTGTAGCAGCTTTCCTCCCAGGAGTAGATATGCTGACACACCTAGACAGTGATATGGGTACCATGGTGGGCAGAGGCCCATGGGAGGAGCTTGGAATCCTTAGGGTAGAATGGAAAAACATGTGGTGGGCAGAAGGAGCAAAGCCCTTTTGGTAACCGACAAACCTCTCCGGCAGGAGTTCAAGGCTGGGCCTGGGGAAAATGACTTCACTGACCTGGCTGTAAGGGTTGGAGATGTGGCTACTGCAGCAAAGATGCGAATCATGGCTAGCTTACAGAGGTCTGCGGCTGAGCCTGTGGACACAAACAGTTCTGTTTTAGGGTCTGAGGTGTGTGGCACACAGTGCCTGAGCTGTTATAGAGACATTTCCCACAGACACTGCTCATTCCACAAAAAAAAAATAAAGGCGTTTTTACAAGTGGAAGCAAAACACACATCTCAATTTAACAGAGCTGCTTCCTTCTCAGTGCTGGGGGAATGCAGTTTGGATGCCTTATTGAGGAAGCCTGACCCCAGCCAGATACTCAGGATGCAGTAGAGGGGTCCCAGCCCATGTCTAGTAACCATCTCTAGAACTGGCTCTATTGTTGGCGAGGCTCCTGGGGACTCAGATTCCTACTTTTTACAGGGGAACAACATGGCCTCCATGGGTCTTGGGAAGGTCATCTCTTTCTTTCTTTTTAAAATACAGGTCTGGATGGCATGGCAGTTCTGCTTCAGTATTACATGTGTGCCTCACCATGTCCTTCCAAAAATGTCTTAAACATAAACATGGTCCTGCCACCACATCAGCAGCTGTGATGACGCTTACTGCCAGGCAGGACAAGTGAGGGCTGTGAGGCTCACACAGGAGTTTCCAGAGCATGAAGTACCACAGCAAAATGCCACCTACCCAAGGCGTAGGGGACATGGACCTGCAGGGAAGAAGCCACAGGCAGGCTAGAGGCTCTGGTACCTTGAACCACAAAGTTTACTGCCTGTCGCTCTGCTTGTGCCCGAAGTTTCTGGTCCTGTGCACAGATCGTCGGCAAAGGCCTCCTTCTACCCAGGATGGATGTCACATAGCCTATAGTATGGGAAGGAGAAGCAGATAAGAGACAGGAGCAAGTGGCATATCACCAAGTGGGCAGCGCCTCCTCACACCCCACTCCACCTCTCCCAGGGCTGCCCCATGTATTTTTGGGGCACATGGTTTCTACATAGGAGAGGGAGACCTGCAGAGGAACGGCCTCTGCTGGCTGGGTGTCAAGCTTCTACTCTTTTCTGGCTTCTAGCTGCATGAAGACCTTGCACAGGGAGGACAGTTTTTATTCCACAGAACTTCAAAGCCCTATGTAGGGCTTGGGCACAGGAGCCATTCTAGAGTGTGTGGCAGCTGGAATACAGAGCAAGGAGTAGTGGCTATGTCTTCACATGAAGGTAGACTGAGATCTTCTGGGTCCCAAAGCTTACATGGCTTGTGGCTCTTAGGAAATGCATGAAGAGTATGGAGAGATGGCTTAGTGGTTAAGAGCACTTCCAGGGGACCTGGCGTTACTTCCCAGCATTCACATGGCAGCTACTATCTGTAACTCTAGTTCTAGAAGATCTGACACCCTCTTCTCGCCTCTAGGGCACTGCATGCTTGCGGAACATAGAAATATATGTAGGCAAAACACTCATACACCCAAAACAAGAATAATAAGAGCACACAAAACCCCACTATGTTGATGTATTAGTTGGTGTTCTCTAGAGTAACAGAACTTATAGAATGAATCTTTATCTAGCTATATGAGATATATATAAAGGGGATCTATTAGAATGACTTAAAGGCTGTAGTCCAGTTAATCCAACAATGGCTGGCTATGAACAGACAGTCCAGGAATCTAATAGTTGCTCAATCCAGAAGACTGGATATCTCAGCTGGTTTTGGTGTACACTGGAATCTGGGAGAAGCAGGCTCTAGTGAGAGTGAAGGAATGGACTTGCCAGCAAGGCAAAGAGCAAAAACTTCCCTTTTCCATGTCCTTATATAGGCTTCTGGCAGAAGGTGTGGCTCAGATTAGAGGTGAGATTTTCCAGATCAAATGATCTGGATTAAAGGCTTGTCTTCATATCTCAAAGATCCAGATTAAAAGCGGATCTTACTACTTCAAATTAAGCAAAATCCCTCACAGGTGTGTCCTCCAGTTTTGGGTTTTAGTTACTTCTAGATGTATTCAAGTTGACAACCATGACTAGTCATAACAAGTCCACTCCTTGTCAACTTGACACACAATATATCTCTTTATGATTAATTTCCAAATGAAAAAAAAAAGTCCTAATAACAAATATATTATAACTATTCAATGTACAATCACAAACTCATATTTAACAGGTCATAATTACATCTAACATGATATAACCATCCCTTATACAACCACAAATGCATTCTAAATTTAGAATAAGTGGCAATGTCACATTCTTTTACTATCTCAAAATTTAATATAACAACCATTGATATTCTCTTGATCCTAAATCACATGATAAAGAAATTGAAGAAAGAAAACACAAATATCTGTACAAACACATTCTTAAGAAAATTCAACAGAAACATCCGTGTCAATTATAATCCTCATTTCTGTAATTAGTCATGAGGACTTGGCTGGTGTTTATAACTACCTTCCTCTGCTACCCACTCTGTATTTCATCCACCCTTCAAGCAGACCTTGGCTCTTTCCTGAAGGAGTGACACATACCTTCATTCACGACAGATCTGTGGATTATGCTGTTGTAGTCTCCCACTGACTTTAATCACATGACATGGTAGTACCAAGAGACACCCTAAAAGATCTTATGCTGTGCCTTCAGGACCTGTGCGGTCCTGACCACGTATACACCACTTTCATTTGATGATGGGCTGTTATTGTGCATGTCCTTCTTTATGCCTCAGTGGGCCAGGTAACACCCAGCTTATGGTGGGAAGCTCAGATCACACAGTGGCCCTTTGTCAAACATTCAGTTTCCACCAAGGCCCAAGAGCAGGCCAAGAGCTGTCTCTCAAAGGGAGAATAGTAATTTGCAGAGGATGAGCCTTGCTCCAAAATCCCAAAGCTCTCTTCTGTGACTCACTTATAGGGGCCTGCCAAAGGCTCCAAAATGCATCCCTTTGTGCCACTGACACCTCAAGTACCATTAGGTCTGCTGGATCATATGACCCAAGTGGTAGAGCAGGCTACACAGCATCCTGGACCTGTTGAAGAGCCTACTCCTGTTCCAGGCCCCACTCAAAGCTAGCAGCTTTCTGAGTCACTGGTATATGAGCCAGAGTAACACATGCAAGAGAAGAATGTGCTGTCTCCAGGATGCAAATAGGCCTACTAAACAGTGTGCTTTTTTCTTGCTGGTGGGAGAGGCCAGGTGCACTAACTTATTCTTCACCTTGGAAAGAATAGCCCCATACCACTCCTAAGAATTTCACAGAGGTAGTAAATTTTTAGTTAGATTTTTTTCCCCATCTTCTGATATGCATATGTATAACCAAGGAGTTCAAAGTGGCTGCTACCTCCTATTCACTTGGTATAATCAGAATAATGTTGTTAATATAGTGTATTATTGTGATATTTTGTAGAAGAGATTCCCTTCTAAATTATGACACAGGGCTGGAGAGTTAGTATATCTTTGAAGTAAAAATGTAAAGGTATATTGCTGGCCTTGCCAACTGAAAGCAAATTGCTTCTGGTGGTTCTTATGGACATATAATGAGAAAAAGGAATTTGCTAGAGGAATAGCTGTATATCATGTACCAGATGTGTTAATCTGCTCAAGTAAGGACACCACATCTGCTACAGCAGCTGTTGTTGGAGTCACTACCTGATGGAGTTTCTGACAGTCAACTGTCATTCTCTATGACCTTCTGTACTAGCCAGAGAGGAGAGTTAAAGGGTAGGAAACACCACCCCTGCATCTTTCAAGTCCTTGATGGTGACACTAATTTCTGCAGTTCTTCCAGGGCCGTGATAATGTTTTTGAGTCACTATTTTCCTGGTAGAGGCAACTCTAAAGGCTTCCATTTAGCCTTTCCAAGTACAATAGCCCTCACTTCATAGGTCAGGGAACCAATCTGAGAATTCTGCCAACTTCTAAGTATATCTATTCCCAATTATACATTCTGGGATTGGGGAAATAAACACAGGTTGAATTTGGGAACCCACTAGACCTACTGTGAGTTGGACTTCAACCAAAACTCTATTAATCGCCTGACTTCCATAGGCTCCTACTTCAACTGGAAGGCCACAATGTTTCTTGGGATCTCCTGGAAATCAGCATTAATTCAGAACCAATAGATCTGGAAAGTCTGATTGTTTTCTTTCCTCCAGTGGACAATTACCCTTGTGAAAGGCCCCTCTGGAGAAGGACTGGAGATAAGCTAACAGTAAACCTTTTCTGTATTTTATCAAGGTCCTTCCTCAGGGGAACCTCTGCAAACTGGCTCAAGTCTAGAAATTGATTCATGAGCAGAGATTGCCTTTTTACCACAGTCCAATGTAACCTTTTTCTCCTTTGTTTGAAAAATTTTCTGCTTATACAGATCAAACAAAAATGCAGTAGGCTTTTTATCTATTTCATGCCTGGAAACACCATGATTGATTAGCCAGTACCAAAAATCCATATGAGTCATGACACCATAAAATTCACTTTGCCTGTGCTGACCGTTATGGGTTAGGCCATTATGGACATTACTTTGTCTGTGCTGCCCATTACAGTAACTATGATCACCTTGCCTTTGGTGATTCAGTGTTGCTACCTGGCCCCTGCTTCCACCGGGTCCAGTTAAGGCCATTGCATTAAACTTGTTCAACTGAGCAGCAGGATCTTCAAGCATTTAGTCTGGCACAAGAAAAAGGGTGACAACAAAGCTCTTCAAATGCACTGATGTCACTCTCCCCATTTTGCATCTTATCAGATTAGTGAAGGGCATGTTTTCTGGGTCTCCCAATTGTGGAGGATTAGGTTTTATACAGTATATTCATCCACTCTAACATTGCAATTTTCCTGACCTTAAAATCCCTCATCAACACTAAGCCAAGGGGTATCAAGCACGTCAAACTCCTTTTCAGTAGTCCTCTTTTGACAAACACTGCAGCCAACCATTCAAACTTTTGACACTTTTTAAAAAACTGTGCAAGCTTCCGCATTAAACCTAGGATTTCCACTCAGAGGGTCCATATCAATGAACTCTGCCTGATCCAGTTTTATGTTCCTTCACCATTATCTCACACCCTTAAAATCCATTCCCACACATATTCCCCAGACTTCTACTAAAATGAATTAACAAACTCATTAAGCTCTCTAGTAGTGGAGCACAGTTCTTCATGGACTACACTTTCTACATCCTCTCTAGGAGTCTGCTTTGCTTTAAGTCTGGTTATAGTCTAGAGCAGTGGTTCTCAACTTGTGGGTTATGACCCCTTTGAGGGAGGTGTCCAACAACCCTTTACACAGGTCACCTAAGACAACCAGAAAACACAGATATTTACAATTCATAACAGCAGCAAATTTTCAGTTATGAAGTAGCAACAAAAATAATTTTATGGTTGGGGGTCACAACATGGGAAACTCTATTAAAGGGTCATAGCATTAAGAAGGTTGAGAACCACTTGTCTAGAGGCAACTATTGGTAGGCTCTGAGGAACATCAGTATTGTCTTGCCTGGCATTTCCTTCAGAAAAAGGTCACTGCTGGTTTAGAAGCAGACAATGAAGGATTAATTTCCTCAGTCAAAGGTGAGAAAGTCCATATTTCAAGAGGTAGGGCTAAGAGTAGAGAGACCACTTCTTCAGCAGAGATAAACCTTGAGAATCTGAGGGTTTGAAGTTTCTCACTTAAACACAGTCCTCCCCCACACCCCCATCCCAAGTTAGAGGATCTCATTCTTTACTTGAGGCTGAGACTTGAATTCTCACTGTAATTTAAGCAATCTTGTAATGAGGCCTTCAGTTTGATTTTCCACAACTTGAGCTCTGTGGCTGATGGAGAGAAGATTCTCTTCCGGAGCACACTTAGAAACCTTTAGGCTGTTTATGGGCATCTGGAACTGCTAAGTTT